CTTTAGGGAAAGATGACGATGCAGGGCCAGGGCAGGGTCGGGTCCAGAAAGGGCATGATAGGCGTAAGAAGGAGCAAAATGCATGACAGATCACGGCTATCGGATCAGTAGTGGGAGGTTGTAGCATGAGGTGGGGATAAGGAGTGAGGTATGTATGTATTCATGGAGGAACTTGCAGCCACTGTGTTATTTGCAGGTTCATCATACAATAAATGGAATGCAGTGCTTGTTCTGCGTAGAATTCAGAAGCTTACCCGTATGATACAGTCCGTCACACGCTGGCGTTGATAGCGCTCAGGATAGCAAAGAGTCTGAACCTCGAAAGACTAGCTGAATCCACCAGTAGCGGGAGATATAGTCGTGGGGGAGGCGTTCCCAGGCGATTCTAATGTGCGTCGGCGACGTTTCGGTGCGCCCGTCTGGCCGGCTTGATTGTTTCGCTGTTTCTGACTGTCCAAGGTATCGTGATACGGGCGGGGACATACATAGGTAGGTAAGGTACGGAGTATAATTAGAGCTGAACCCTTTGCCATATATCCGAGTTGGCGCAGGTGAGGTCTTTCCGTTATCGATACGAGACGGAGCCTTAGGGTTTCAAACTATCGAGAAGCGAGTCGAGGGAAGGTGCAAGGGAAACGCAATCACTCGGATAGACGGCTCGAGATGAGGAATTATATAATCCTATTACTCCGTGTTACTACCTATGCGTGAACAATCTATGCTGGCAAGATTGAGGGGGATTCGTTGGTAGGAGGGGAGAAGAGAAGCTTGCTTTAAAGCGTCTAGCGAATAATAGAGTCGAGACGGAAACTTTGTTCAGCATTTAAATTAAACTCATTGGAAAGATAAAGTCTCATGAGATCAATGCCGAGAATGTTGAGTCAAGCAAGGTAAGGTTACAATGAATGAATAGGCCTGTCTTGGTGCTGGCTTGTAGTTATGAATGTATTAAAATAAAAGAAGAAGAAGAAAGTCTCATAGAGGCCAATGCCAAGCACCACTAAGAATAACCATAAATACTACTATAATCATTCTTTGCGTCAACCAACAATAACTCGACCAGAATGCAAATATCGTAATGCCAATGCTGCAATGCAATGCAATGCTCGGTCAGTGGCACTCTTTGCTAACCGTCCAAGCCAAATAAAATACAGCAGCCACAGACAGACGTGACGGTTCCGGCTCCCAACACCGCGGATCCTCTCAAAGCCACATAAGTACCCTTATTTGCATGCGGCAATGCGGCAAACAGTAAGCATATCAGGAAGCCAATTATCCCTCCCGAGCTTATTTCGAGCTGTGCTTGGCTCTGTCTGGCTGAGATCCCCAATGCGAGGCTTCTCTTGGCCCCATTACCTCAGCAGGTGACGGGGGCTAGAACCCATCAGAAGGCTGAATTAGGCCGCTCCTGGAAAGCCCCGTGCAGGGATTGCAAAGCCACTGAAGCTTGGCTGCTGATCCTCTTGGCTGCCTGGACGTGAATGGGTGAATTTTCTACGAGCGGTGGTCGTGTGTGTGTGTATATCAGATGCATACCTACTAACATTTTCACCGCTCTATCAGATTTCCTTGGCTATCAAAAACAAGCCCATCATGTGCTATAAAATAAAAGACAGTCGGCCACGACACGGAATTCTCGGCTTGTGGGAGAAGCAGCAACATCGTCCAACGTACGTCCTTCTACCGCACAAAGCGCAGGATATGGCCGGATGGGTCTCGTCTAGAAATAGTTCAGGAGAGGAGGCCATGCTCCTAAGCGAGGCCTCAGTGCTTATCAGGATTATGATGAGCGGTTCTTGGCTCGCGATGAAATTGGCAAGACATTTTTGTTGCTCACGGAATATGCCTCCTCAAAAAAAAAAAAAAAACCATTTCGTAAATAACACAAGACCAAAAAAAGATAAAAAAGGTATTTCCCGTTCTATGTTGCAGTGTTATTGTTGCGTCTTTTGAGCCTTATTTGGGTTTCGTCAGCCCTCGGCGGATGATGCGGCTTTGGAACACTCCAAATTTCAGGCTTGGCACCAAGTGCCGTGGCCCGAGTCTAGGGGTTGTCGGGAACAGCCTCGGACTTGTCGTGCTCTTTGATCATCTGGGGTTTTTCCCGCCTCTAAAGGAGTTGGGTTGGGTTGGGTTACAGCACAAATTACGATTGTCCAAGAAGCCGAGCTTCAAAGCGCCTTGGCTCGCACGAGACATTCAGGTTTTGATACTCCATGGCATTGCACAGACTCAAGTCCTGGTGGACCAGACAAGACTTCATTTCCCTGTGCAAGTGCCAAGATCGATCAGTTATTCCTCAAAAGTTCCCGGTGTCAGAGAATGAGAGAGTCATGTACTTTGTCGTCTTATAGCCCACTTGGTCTCCTCTGATCAACTATCAGGGATATTGGTGCTGTAAAAATAAAAAAAAAGTTCCTCGCAGGTTGATTGCCTACCCAGCTGAGACAATCTCGAATTGTTTGCTGTCGCTCAAGAGCCGTTTCCTGTAACCTCGATGTAACCTCTGCTGGTTGTGTTTCACGTAAACTTGACGATGTGATGATCTACGCCCGTGCAATACGGTACATACATAATTCCCTGAGCGGGATGGTAGAGTGTCATTGCGCTCGCATATGTACGGTATCTACCAGGAGACCCTATCATGCCAGTTGATGTTGGCTCATTCGAAACAACGCTCGTAAGCACTCAATCCCACGCATTCAGCCTCCACAGTCATCCCAATAATAGGTACCTAGGTAATTATAGGTAGTCAGCAACATCGTCATAGCCGTTGCTCAGTTATGGAAACCCATTCGAAACAAACAGAAACGAGCATTTCTAAACAACTTCCTCTTCTGATAGGACAACAACAACCAACAAAACAAGCAAGATTATCACCACCCGTCGGCACGCACGGCTCAAGTGATAGGCGTCTGCCGCCTGTAAATAAAGTTTTCCTCAGCAGTTGATGACGAGATGACGTCTGCCAGGCACCACAACATGTTCAAGTTTAGGGTCCAACTGATGGAGATCTTCAAGGTAAGCTTAAGCCTTTGAGAATCTCCGAAGGACCCACGAAGTTGCCTCATTTGGGGGCCCTTTGTCTGCCTCTGCCTCTCCCAGCGCGAGGCTTGTCGATCATGTCCATGTCAGGTAACGGTCCTAGAGCGGCTTTTGTCATGCATTCCCACTCAAAATCCCTTTGCCATGATACACGCACTTCCGCGGGTGTCGTATCGTACACTGAAATAATGCAACCACAGGTAACGTTGACCGCCGTGACTGACTGACTGACTTATGGGGATTTGAAAGAAAAAAAATGAAGAAGAAAAAATTGGGGAGTGCTCGGGAGAAGTTCTTCTTGTTGTTCTCGCTTTTACCGCCGAGCTTGGACTTGTAGCAGAAAGGAAGGTATTCGACTGTGCATCAATGCGTGTATCAGGCATAACCTCGTTGACTGCTTGTTTCCAACAAGCGCCAGACCCTGATCCGTGTGTCTTCTTTTTTAATTCTCCTACGAAGGTTTCTTATTTTGGCCATTCAGATGAAGGGTTTCAGAGAGATCGACAGCGCCCGCCTCTAGCCCAATGCTTGTTCTTCTCACGAAAGCTCATGATTGTCCAGGACACGTAACACGGGTTCCAGTGATCAAGATCTTGACCATTAGCGGGTTCTGTACTGCTCTCGATGGAGCAGTTACAGTGGACAGGAAGGCCTGAGATGAGGTCAACTCGGGAAAATCGGCGGTTTTGCCCCCCTGGAGACAAAGTCCCCATTCCCCACGTCCCCAGGACATGACGTCGACTGTGCCGTGGTGCCGAGCTGGGCGTTTGTTAATGTCTCGTCTCTGTCTCGGTGCTTTTTTAGAGCCACGGCCCTTTTGCATGTGCTGTAAGAATCATTATCTCTCCCTGTGAACCACTGGATCAGTGAGTAGTGTACTGTAAGTTGTTGATTGTCACCGCCCTCGGCTGGAACGGGAGTTGACTGTTTTGAATGCTGAGACTTCACGCATCAGGATCGACATCATATGCCTAGCCATGCCATGCCTCTTGTGCCAGTGCTCATGCCTCCAACTCCCTGCTTTTTCAAACTTGTCTAAAGCTTGGCCTATGGATACTACTCTGCTGTGTCACAGAGCCAAGATGCAATGTACTGTATGCGACCCATGTTTGTTTGAAATTGGCGCGAGAGGAAGGCCATTTGAGCTGCTTGTCGTCTGAGGGCTGAGCTCGGAAAATCGGCTCTGGACGGTGCACACTAACGCGCAACCCAGTCAAGTATGTACCAAGGATGGAATACGACAGGCGAGACGCTCCAATTACATTGCCATGTTGATGAAACAACGATGGATTGTGAGGATTACCAAGGCTCGGCGGGAAGCCTTGTCAGTCAGCACTGTTGTTTTTTGTGAAGCGTTTTGTGTAGAGTGCCAATGCTTGTGGTTGAGCAAAACTGCCTTGTTCTACCTCCCTACGCAGCTGATGCCGCCAAGAATACTGTCACTGATGCCATGGAAATTCTTCCTGGCCGCGGAAAAGACAATGGCGTTTTCTAACTTTACGAGTCACCCAATTAATAAAATACTGATTCCTTCAAAACTGCCAAGACGGATCGGACAGGGCTCGGCGCAGGTGGTACCTTGGGTCAGGCGGCCTCTCATTCGAGCAAAAGCAAACGCCCTGGTTTAAGCATGAATTTAAGCGTTGTCAGCCACTTGCTTGGCACGGGTGTCATTCCGCCCTGGGGCGTGTCTCTACAAGCACTAGTGACGAGAAAGTAGCCGCGTCTTCCAATCCCAAGTACGCAGCGACGCTCATCAGGAGGAGATAATGTGCTCAGCGTCCAGGTGGACCCTGCCTGAGCCCGCAAAGGAGGACAGTGGACACATGGTTGGCCGTCAATTGGAGCCCGTGGCTTGCGAGATGTGGTCTTGGTATGGTTGCGAGATGCCGTCGCAACCGTCTTGGCTTTTTGGCTTTGCAGGGGTGGTCTAGTGGTACGTACCGGAAACAAGAATGGGTGTTTCTGATTCTGATTACGATTGTATGGCATTATCTGGGGCACACCTCACTGAGAGTCCTATTCCCGGGCGTGTTCGCGGTGCCGGGTGGATCAAGGATTTGTCTTGGCTTTCTGCTAAGAGGCCGCTAACCGCGGACAGGAGAAGCGAGGCTCTGTTGCCAAGAGGGAGAGGTGATGATGATAGTGGGATTTGCTGCTGTGTAGTTGTCACTTTGAGTCGTAAAAGTTGCGTTCTAAATCACACGCAAGGCGTCCGAAGCAACAGCGGTATGAAATAGGCCGCAATCGTCATGGCGGAGTCTATCCAATGTCACCATCTGGATATATCGGCATCTCGAAGCTCGCCCATGTGCTGTTAAGGACTTAAGGTGTCGCGCTAGACAAGGCCTCTCCATATTTCTAATTCTCGCGTGCCGATCTGTCCGTCCAGATCCCTGTCCATAATGACTCGGCTGACGCCACAGGCTCACTTGGTGAACTCTGACCCTCCCTCCCTCAGCGGGCGAAGCTTTCTGTCTCTGTTTTTAAATTTTTACCGTGCAGCCCGATAAAAAGCTTGGCGCTCGGTGGCTGCATGCTTATTTGTTTTAACCATGGCATCATAAACCCTTGAACCGCCATGATTGGCTCGACAGGTCTCCCACTCCCAGGTCGCTACATAGCAATATCGTCGAGACGTATCCGTGAAGGCGTCGATGGGTTGGTTATTCTGTCGAGTCTGTGCCATTGTGACTCTGACCTTTGGCCAACCCCAGTAATCGGATCATGGTATAACCCAAGTGTCGCCGATCTACCCGTCCAGCCGACAAGGTTGAGGCAGATAAAGGGGTTGTTAACACGTTACCCTATGTATGTATATCGTCAAATGTGGTGGCTCAGCAAAAGATAATCAATATTCAAGTTCATTCATTCGTTGGCATTGATATTATTGCTATGCTGCCTGGTGTTCTTAATTGTAACACCATACATCATGATACGGTGAGAACCCAATCACCAACTGCCCAGTCGACTTACTCGTACTACGGCAAACCCTGATGCTAAGCTTAATTGTCACCGAAACCACGAGGTCAAAACTCTGACAGATAAAAGTTCCGTGACCTGTTGATCCAAGGAATGGACCACAGAAATCCACCAGTTTGAGTGATTAGTGCAACTTGGCAGGCCCAAAGTCATCACACGTTACTCTGCATCGTGACAAGCCTCAATCAACACAAGGACCAAAGGAAAGCTACACTGCAAACCAAGCCATCACCGCCACGATAAGACTTTATTAGAACAAGAGCCAGTGGCCTCGCTTAGAGCGAGCGCCATTTGCTTCGCATCTTGAGCCAAAAGTCCGTCCAACTTGGCCCCCGCCAAGGTTCGCCGAGACTCATCTATCGTCAGAGTCTGGACTGGGCGCCATGCATTATTGCGCTGGGATGAAAGAGAAAGGTTTAAACCCCGATCCCCTGGCGTCGTTTTTTTTTTTTTTTTTTTTTTTAATTTTTTTTTATAACTCAAAAACACCGCCAGGATCTTTGGTGAATGTGATATAACGCCGAGAAGCGGCGGCGGGCGTTGGGCGCGTGGTACTGACAGCACCAGGTTTGTTCGGTTTTGGCTAAATAGTTCATGGTATGGTACCTTGCCTTTTACTCAGACAGGCAGGCAGACAGGACTCACGGTGTCTTTTAAGCTCAGGCTAGCCCGTAATCAACAAGCAATAGAGGTAAGCATAACCACTGAAATCTGCCCTTGGAGGGTCCAGACCTTCTGTCAGATGAGGCTGAAAAGGGGGTCATCAATGCGACCTGATTGGACGGGTTATGTTACGACGAAACGAATTACAACAGTCCAATTATTGCCCTTGATAGGCAAGGTTGTCTTTAGAATGATGAGATGGGTCTCGTATCGAAGAATAGTAAAATAAAATAAAAATAAAGCAAAACAGGTGACATGGTCAAGGTGAAGCTATTTGTCACGCATGACGAAATTGTTTACACGATGATGGGGCGAAAGAAGGAAAATGGAACAAATTCGTGGATCCAGAGAGAAAAAAAGAGGAGACCAGGAGAGAAAAAAGAAGGACGAAGAGTAAAATAAAAAAAATTCCACGATGATGGATCACCAGAGAGAGATCAAAGCGTTACCGATACATACATACTTACACCTTGGACCTACCTCTATCGTCAGAGGTTCCACTAGCGGATACTGTATTATCTAACGGAATGTGTGCCCATTTCCCGAACAAGGGGTCTCATGGATAAGTCGGCATCGATCATCCATTTTGTGTGGTTTTGGTTTCTTGATGTTTGCTGTTGTCTCATTTTGATGCCAACGAAATACGAGGAAAAAAGATGAAAAGTCCATAGAGTACCTAGCAAATGATTGCATACATAGATCACACAAAGAACAGATCACTAAATTACCCGAACTAATATATTTGAAAAGGTCATTGACTGCCGAAAAACAGAGTTCCTCAAACAACCCTGTCCCATACCGTGATCCATCTTAAGCTTATTTTCCAACTCTGAAGAGGGGGGTTGCTCAAAGCAGTAAGTGACAAAGACGAGACCCCGGCCTCTTTAGGTGTCTCGTGTTTCGCAGGCATCGAGTGAGTGGAGGACAGGCAGGGCACTTTTGCGGTTGAGTTGACTAACTCGACTGAACTTAACGTGCCATGGAATTTGACATGAGACGTCGAAAAGAGAAAAGATTACGCGGGACCCGGCAAAACCGGACATAGTCAATAAAGAGACGCCGCACCAGCGACGCCGTTATAACCGATTTATGCGTATAGTATGCGTACAAAGAGGCATTTGGAGAACCAGTTTTACTGTCCGTCTCGAGTTCACAGTTGGCATTCTAGGGCATTCTAGGGCATTACATTAATTATAGTCAGTGACTGATCAGGGCTTGCTTTCTGGAAACAAAGTTGCAGCTCCGTCACTCACTCACTGAATACGACCAACGGTAATAATGCAAAGGGCCGAAAGTTTCGGTGCTTGGCACGGCCGAGTCCTGTTGTTCCAAGACCCGTTATTTCCTTCCATTTTTCTCTCTGCAAGCCCCATCGATATCAACGGTGATAGGTAAAATTATTGTTATTACACCGAGCGTTGCCGTTTTATCCATCTTCGGTGTCCGTACAGTACTGCAAGATACATACAAAGTGGTGAAGCTGCGGAAATAACCCGACCGCTTGACTAGAGTAAACCAAACCACTTCTTATTAGACACCCCCCAATAACGGCTGCGTCGGCACGATCTCTGGGTCGCTGTGCCGCGGGATGATGGCATGCGCCGCAAGATGGACAGATATGCTTATTATCACCAACTGCCAATGTTGGTAAAAGCCCTCTACCTTATTTCCACCGCTAGCCACCCACTCCCACTCCCTCTCCCTCTCCCCATTCGGTGGTGTGCCCTGCTCCGTGCCGTCAAAGCCGTCCCATGAAACGCGGGTTTGCAAACAGGCGATACGACTGGTGCATGGCACCTCAGCCGTTGGCTCGCTCTCTCACTACTGTAGGCCTGTATTTCACCACTTGGATTTCGTGGTGGCGGAGTTTCGGGCTATCAGATTTCTGTTTGGCGCTATCACTGCCTCTGTTGCCGTTTATCCAGATTCCCTCTCAAACCCCTGGTTGATGGTGGCCGTACTTCCGGACGAGTGCCTTCTAATTGATGGACTGCTCGAGTTACGATACGTGGTCTCTTGCAATGCTACGAGCTTGAAACCAATACCAGAAACATGTGGGAATCGCCGTTACAGACATTTGGCGGAGAAATCTATTCATGTCTTTCTTTGTGTTGAACTGGACCAGGTAGTCGGGGCTCTCATGATGGCTTTAGGGTAGGTGGCTTATGGCAAACAAGAGGTCATAACAGGGTAACTCGATCGTTGGTATTGTATCTGTGTATCTGGTCATCCTGAATTGACTGTATCCAAGTAGATCAGTCTCGCTCTTGAGGTATACCCGTAGAAGATACCTAAATAATCACGGGTAATGTCTCTTGATGTTCGTGCTCCTCCGATGTTGTTCTTGACGAGGAGAGTCTTCTGATTTATCTCCATTACCACAAGACCAAACCTGGGAGGGAATATCTGATCGCCATAGGAACTATGCAACATCTGTACTTGTACATCCAGGAAGCATGTCATTTACCAGTCAGGTCTTCTGGAACCCAAGTCGGTCCTGGCCCCGGAAGGTATCGTGACCACCATTGAGCTAGTAGTAGTGTGTACCTTTTGCGACACTACCTTAGGTATTGGCTATTATTAACAGAAGCCAAGCTTCGTTACGAACCTACTGTATTAACGAGTTGAAGATGGTCTCTTGGCATAACGAGTCCTTTGAGCATTATGCCGTGGCGCATACAAGTCGGCAACTGTATTCAGACCTGCCCAGAGCCACACCAGGGAAGTTCCTCCAACGATGTAGAATAAGCCACTACAAGCTACGAATACTATCAGACATTACAAGGAGGTACGATTAACGTAGCATTGGTCACATCACTCCCGTCAATAGTTCCACAAGCACAGAGAACCCGAAAGACAACAACGAGAGAGTATCTAGTATACACCAGCATGCTCCATCGCCAGCATTCGTGACAAGTTTAGCTCAAGCAGAAGCAACAAAACCATGTGCGTTTTTTCTAAGTTTTGGCTTATCATGTCGTGCCCAATCCATCAAAGTGGTGGTCTATAATGTACAGATGTAATACACGGTCCCCAGATACGACGATATAAACATGAATCAGAGATCTGACAAACCCCAGCACCTTGTCTCGATCTCTAGTAGATCCCACCCTCGTCCTCGTCCTCGCCATCGGAAGATCCAGCGCTCTCCCCGTCGGCCACGCGCAGCAAACCTAGATCGTGCAAAAACTGCATGCACTCATCCGAGTCAACTCAGGAGCTCCTCTTCACCGCATCCAGCCCAAGCCACTGAGATGCCCTGAGAGCCCATCGCTGTGTCACACAGTACTCCGCGGCCCATGCATGTTCCCACGGGAAAAAGGAGACGGTGCATATCTCGTGACCGTTTGTCCTTGTAGGATACACAAGTGTCGCTTGCTTTGGTGTGCGCGACGTGTCACCGCAAAAAGACATAGTATCAGATTGCTCGCTGAAATGGACGCATCTCTCAGGGCGGAGGGCTATCCAAGGTAGGCAGGCATTAACGAGAATGTTCTGTTGGGCGTGGAAAGACGGTGAAGAACATTTTGGGCGGCCGATGCAATGAAAATGAGAGGAGATGTGCAAGTCCGAATCAGCGCTTAGCAGTCGCATCGATGGTAGTGGCGTGGAAAGGGGACAACATCACGGACGTTGGGCACGCCAGTGAGGTAGCTTAGAAGTCGGTCGAAACCAAGTCCGAAGCCACCGTGAGGGGGGCAGCCCCAGCGACGCAGGTCGAGATACCAGGCCAGCTCCTTGCCCTTGTCGGATCGCTTGCTGGGAACTTCTAAACCAAGGGCCCGCATGTTCTCCTCGAGTTGAGGCAGACGGTGCTCACGCATAGAGCCGCCAGCCAGTTCACCCAGGTGAGGAACCAGGAGGTCAAAACAGTCCACTGTCAGACCCGAAGCCGGAGACGAGGATGACTGGCGCATGTAGAATGCCTTGATATCCCGCGGATACTGTGTTATGAAGATTGGAACATATGCATCTGTGGCCTCGTCGTAACCTATCTTCTCAGCGAGGTACTTCTCATGTTCCGATTGCAGACCAGAACCCCATGTAGGCTTGTGCTCAAATTGCTCGGCAATAGGCTTGAGAATCTCGAGGGCCTCACTGTACGTGATTCTAGGCCATTTCTTGGTGGTGAGCATACCTCGCCATCGACGATCCAGTTGTTCCTGGTCAACTAGGTCGTTGAATGCAAGGCGCTCGGAAGGTTCCTTCGAGTCAACTCGGTTCTGCTCAAGCTCCTTTGCAGCATTGAGCTCCTTCAACCCGCTGGCCATTGAGTTCAGCATGCGCTGTGTTAGGTTCATGACTTCCTCCATGTCACCAACGAAGCTCATCTCAGCCTCGAGCATGTAAAACTCGCTGAGATGTCTCGACGTATCACTCTGCTCGGCACGAAATGTTGGGGACAAGGTCCAGACGTTGCCGAGCGCTTGAGCGAGAGCCTCAAGATGGAGCTGAGAAGAGACAGTCAGATACTTGGGATCACGGAAGAACTCGTCAGCAGAAGATGCTTTGACGGAAAATGCTTCTCCAGCACCCTCGCAATCAGAGGAAGTGATGATAGGAGGGTGCGTTTGCTGAAATCGCTCACGGAAGAAGAACTGTGTGAGCATGGTGGTGGCATCTGATCGGAATCGTAGCATCGTTGAGTTCAGAGGCGTTCTTGGCCGCAGATGTGAGATAGTGCGAAGACTTTCAGGGGTCTGATATTTGTTCTGGATCGGATAGGTCTAGGTATGTGTAAGAATAGGTCTAATCCGTGATGTCCGGATGCTCTTGATGGACGTACCATAGGATCAGAGCCTCCGAGAACCTCTACCTCTGAGACCTTGAGCTCCGGCTGTTCTGAGCCTGTTGACGTTTCGCCCTTGCTCGACGCCTGAGATGTCCCATTAATGGCAGATTGTTTTCTGCTCTCATCAACCCATGTTCCTTTTAGGCGGACAGCTGCGCCTGGACGCATACTGTGGACAAGTCAGTCCGATGTCAATATGTGTGACTCAAGACCTACATACTCCGTGGCTAGATTCTTGTCCACGACCACCTGAACGGGTCGCATGGACGATCCATCGGTGATATCGATGAAGCGTACCCCTGAGCTCTTCCGCACTGATCTGACCCATCCACAAACCTCGACATCAGGCACATGGGACGATGGGCCCCAAGCTTTAAGCTCAGCCACAGTTTTGATATCTTTCTGGCACTCGCCAGGAGGAATCTTGACCGCATATGGCCTTATTTGGGGCCTTGGTCTTCCGAATCTTGGCACTCTCGATGCACGAAACGATATCATTGTGAGAGATGACGAGTCAGTTGGTTGTTCTAAGGTATAAGCAGCAGAGGCTAACTCTGGGAAGTGCCTTTCCTCAACACCCAATCATGGAGCCCAAATTTGCTATGTTGGGAATCAAATCCGCCTCAAATCGGAAACATGCGCGTAATGATAGAGAAATAATTGCGCCTTTTGTCGGTGAGTGAGATGGGCTGAAGTAGTGTCGTGGAGTCTAACGCAAGGGATACCAAGTTTCGATGGAATAATGGTTGGCTGTGGAGAAATTTTGGAAATATCACGGGCTGGTCTAGGGTAACCTAATCGCCTTGCCGTCAGGTACTATCGATTGAATACGAAAGCAGAGTCCAATGGGAATGGCGGGCTCGGATTTGGGCTCCCGTTCTGGTCAAGCGGCGGGCCCTTAAAAGAGATGTACCGCATCGGATCTCCATTTTGCTGGGACGAGCTCGAGCTGAGATCGGGGGATGGCCTGTAGAGGTGTCGATTATGCGACCAACTCAGAGTGGCTGGCTAGCAGCCGAGGCGCCTTAGGTACTAAGGGACCTTACGTAGGAGGAGGAGGTACATCTTCTAGGAGCTCTGTAGCTCTAACTAGGTAGGTAGGTATCGGTGCGTGTATCGAGGTTCTTGGAACGGTTTAGTTTAGAGTTGTTTGTTTGTTTGTTTGATGTGGTTTTCACCTTATCATCTATTCAATTGCGGTACCTTACCTTACCAGCGAGATGGTACCTCACGCACGCACCGCACACTCACCAAATTACTGGGTCGCTACCTTACCTGGTAGGTACATACTACCTAGGCTAAGGTAACTTAGGTAGTCCCTGGTGTGCGTATCGTTGTTCAGGCAGGTGCAGGTGCACGACCCGAGCCAGTCTACCGGGACACGCTTTCCTTGCTTGAAGCTAATCAAGCTAGAGCTACCTCATTTCGTCACATCGACAAAGCAACTGCCAACTGGGGAATGCAAAAATAGATTCTCAGCTGGAATGGAAAAGGAAGGGACAAGGGAATACATGAAATCTGGGAAGGGATGGATATCAGATATCAGACAGTGCCCCTTCCTTTCCACATCGGTTTCAGGGACACCTTACTACAGTTTCATCTCCAGTTCAAGACATATTCTCTTCTCTAAGTTCTCTTTCACCTCAACAACCTCGATCAGAATGCACCATGCACCCACTTTGAGATCTCACTCAGGCCGTGGTCTATGACCGCCAGTACATACCTAACAGAAAATCGTATCAAACAAACATCAGTGACCATGTTCTCGTCAATACTCCAATCAGATATTGCGTCCACTCACCCTCTACAACCACGCTTCTGACGAGACACAGCAAGACACCAGCCCACCCAATCGAAACAAGCGTGTTTCTCTCGACTAGTTCGAAGCCAAAATGCGAACTCACCGATTTCCTCGCACCAAAACAAGAGACAGATCCCGACATCATTCGGTCCAAGAAAAAGCAAGCAGCCCACACCGCAACCTCCCGCACTCTAGGTAGCATACAGTAGCATCTTGCCCCGGTACCAACCCTGTCTCAGCCCAGGCATCGTGACTGGGTTTTATGCGGTTTTCCATGTCTCACATCTTGAACCGATCGATTGCGCACTCTGCACAGCTTCCGCCCCAGCCAGCCCCAGCATGTGGGAATCCCTATTGTACAGAACTGGCTGTATGTACGGATACTGTATCTAGGTACAGTATGTACTTGATGAGGCTAGCTGGGATACCATACCATACCCGCCCGCACACGATCAATGAATGCATGAATCGACCTTGTCGATGCCGTCAGTCACTTTTCTGATACCCATGCCAATCCCAGACTACTACTCCGTACCCTTTTCTTCACTTTTCCATTTTCTCGGGCCCCCATAGCTTAGCTGAGCCTCGTCGTCACAAATCACCCCACAATCACAATCACATCCACACTTCACTCTCCTTTCTTGTCTCTTTCTCTCACAAGTTGGTTTTGGTCCGCCGCCCTGGGTATCCGCTTGGACACAAGCTTCCACCAGGCGAGATGAAAGGGTGCCACAGATCTTGATTCGCAACAATGTCCCGGCCAGTTCTGTCTCAGGCTCGCCGATAAAGATCATCCTCCTCTATGGTCCTTGTCGTCAAACAGCCAACCAGCGTGGTTGCTACCTCCGTCTTGAGATGGCGGCGCCGCCTGTGTCCCCGTGAGATCTTGCAGATGCTCCACGGTCCCGATATTGGAGGCTCAGTGTAGCCCACCCAGGTTCCGTCAACTTGGATGTCGGTGCCCCTACTGCACTGTACGCCTGTGATGGTGGGCTGCGATCTGGTACGGCACAGATCCCCGGTCGACTGCGATACGTGGTTCCCAGTCCCTGAGCCTTCTCAAGGGCCCTTTTCTTGTCCCTTCTTATGGCTTGTCTTGATTCGTCTGGCCCTGCATTTGCTTTTTCGAGCTGCCCTGTACCATTTGCAGCTCGTACATCCTAAACTCGTCTGTACAAGACCTATATGCCTGTTAGGACATGTCGTCAAGCGAAACGTCCCCGTTTTCGGCAACCAAGTCTTGCCGTACCCATAAAGTGATGCTGGTCTGTTTTTCTTCTGCTCATTCTTTGGCTTGTTGCCTCGCCTCAGGCCGAGTCTGTTCTAAACAAGTGGTTCAGATCTTGCACATGTTGGGTCACACAGCCCAGTGCCCATCCCTCCCTCACTCGCTTGTCCCGGAGAAGCCAGTCAACCAGAATGTGAGTCCTTGGATCACGTCCGGTGACAGATTCCTCCGCCGTGTTGTTTCTTCAGACTCACGGCCGAGTGTCCATATAAGACCTTCCCGCCCTCCATCGTAGTCCTTATTCCCAGCCCTTCAGACCTCTCCAACCCACTGCCACTCACTTTCACTACTCTTCCTCATCAAGCTAGGCATCTCAAACTTGGCACTTATTCTCTCACTATTGGCGTCATTGGTTTGATAGCGCCCTGACTACAAGCTTGTTTAAAAGCAATACAAGTCCGTACTGCTTGCTCACACATCCAACGCCTTCATCATGGCTCCTCCAAGATCCAGCCGGGTGCGGCCTTCAGAGGTCGCAGCTGATACTAAGAGAAATTTCATTCCACTTGTTAAAAAGAACTACGGAGAAGTTTTCCCACCATACTCCTACCTCTATAGACAGCCCATCATGCAACTCGCCATCCAGCGTCAGAAGCCTACGACTCGGCCACCCTCCTTCAGAATCGAAGTGGGAGACCCAGTCATGAAGGCATTGACATATGCAGCCATGGATACACAACAAAGCGAGGCTATGGGAGGTCCTCGAGTGCGGATCCCGTTCATATGTGCTGCAAATGAACGGAGGCCTGGAGGTGACTGGGAAACTGGATGCGTCGGATATGAGGAGAAGCTATGCCGGCGAAGTAACCTCTCAGCCACATTGAACACGCCATGGCCGAACTCACCGGAACCCAACAACTACCCGATCCCATCACAGGGTGGCATCTTATCTGATGCTGTTGTGGTTTGCCGTGGACCACATGACCGCTACGACAGACTGGAGAGCTGGTTTGACCTACCCGTCGTGTCGGTACCACCAACCCGATGGCCCAAACTCAAAGACAACGGACTCAAGTACTCTTTTGCAGAGGAACGTGAGATGACTCGTGATAAGCTTCGCGGAGCTCTCCGTATCTGTCTTTACAACGGATATGACCGTGTTGTCATTGGGGATTTTGGCTTGGGCAATGGTTACCGCAATCCTCCTCAAGAGCTGGCAGAGCTTTGGCGGGATGTATTGCTTTTCGACCCCGACCTTCGAGGACAGTTTGCATACGTTGTCTTTGTCTTTGAGGATCCCCTACAAAGCACAATGCGTCACATTATGGACGAGATTACCAAGAAGGAGAACAAAGGCAAATCTAGGTCTGGATCCTCCAGCTCGTCTGGATCAAACAAAAGCCACAGTAGCGCTCCCACTGATCGTGAAATTTTCGAGCACGTCTTTAGTGTGAGTGAGGTCGACCGAGTTCTGCGACAGCCTGACCCACGATACGGACTTAACATGATTACAACATGATTTAGTTTGCATCAATCTGAGACAGATTCCAGAACACGGCTTGCCAACCCGACAGCCGTACCAGCGGAAATTTTGAGTCGGGTTTGTCGACAAAGAAAAACTTGTCTCAGGAAGACGAGCCTGTGATGACTCTGAGAGTTAGTCATTTTTTTTGAGGCCGACCGACTTGGCGGGACCCCTGCGAAACGTTTCTTTTTTATTTTATTCAACTGTACCTTCCCGCATTCTGGCGATCAACCGAGGAATGACAAAAAGCCAACGAGCGCTTTGGGCAACTATGATACCAAACTCGGCCAACCGTCCAAGGCCAATTATGAGGCAATGCAATGGATGAGGAATCTACGGGACAGTGACCAGACGTCAGGACAGGCGCAGTGTTACGGGAGTCATGTTGGTTCTTTGCTGTTGTTGGTTGTGGTCATTTGACAAGGAATTTCTTTTTCTTGGTGTTTGGGGTTTGTGTTTGGCGCCTTATTGATTCCCGATCTACAAGTGGCCCTGTCGGGCTCCTGTATCACGACGAATAAATGGTGGTATCGGCGTTGGGTGTGTCACATATATATTTAGCTCAGCTGTTTAGGGAATCTTGTTGTTATCTCATGTCGCACACGGAAACACTGAATGCCCTTCCACAGCCTCGATCTACAATGTCGCTCGAGGGTTTGATGTGGGATGAAGTCGGCCAAGACCCCAGTCAGGTTGAGATGTGAGCACCCTATCGGTCATCAAACACTGAGAACTTGTAAGGCAGGACAGCAATCCCGAGGCACGATATCTGGATACTAGGGTTCATTGGAAGAAACATTCCCTTGCTGAATCCATTCTGTTTCAATTAAACAAGGTGATATACGCAAGACTATTCGTCTCATATGGCCCACCTATCAGCTCTCTTTGAACGTAGTTAAACCCCGGCTTGCACTGTAGTCACAACGTGCATGCGGGTACCCCCG